AACAGGTGGCAACTCTAAAAAAATATTTTTGGCTGTAAGCCTTCTTCATTCTCTTTCTTTTGACGCCCATATTGCAATATTAATTTTTTCTTATCAATTTACTTAAACTCCAATTTTCAAACAGGTGGCAACTCTCTAATTTTTTTTCTTCCTAAATTTTAAGTTAGACCTCTAGCAATGCATCGGTGAAAACTGCATTCAAATCCATGCATTCGTTTTCGAGTGATGCGCGAACTAACATACAGACAGACAGACAGACAGACAGACAGACAGACAAAAATTCTAAAAATGGTTGATTTGGCTTCTGGTGCTTTAAAAAAGACCCCCCACATTAATTTTTCTTTAATATCTATAATGTACAGACATCGACCTGTTACAATTTTATTATATGTATAGATGATAGTTTGCCGCTAACACATATGTTAGTTTTTGGCTTCCCTTGTGGCGTGCGCCTTGATGTTGTCGCAAAAAGAGGAGGGACCCGCGTTTTACGCCGACTCCGCTATTTTTCATGGCAGAAATACACTCGGAGGTTTTCTATTGTCTGTTGAGGGGCGACCGCTATTAAAAAAAAATTATTATTTTTTATTTTGTTATGTTGGGTTGAACCGGGCTTGATTCCAGCCCCGCGAAATGGTAGCGCGCACCAGTTTTGCCATTTTGGTGCTTTTGGAGCTAGATTTAGCTCTTAATTTTTCTTTTTGGCTCCGAAAATTCGGCTATAGCTCCTAGCTCTTTGTTAGTTTTTTTCAAAATTATCTAGCACTTTTTTAGCTCCAGAAAGTTTTAGTTGTGTTTAGTAATATATTAGAATTACAAATCTGTAAGTTCATTGTACAAGTGTTGAATAAAATTTATTTGGCTTTGGCGATCTCAGGTTATTTTCGATACCTTCATATTATTCTATTTCGAATAATACTTAGAAAACTTCCATTCCTAATGCAAATGGCGCGCAAGCAAATGCATAATGGGCAGGAAAGTCAATTAGTTTATGCAACGTGTGCGGGAGAACACAAACTATACCGGACAGTAATTCGAGCTCCGATAAGCTCAGACGGTATTCTCTCTCTGGCGGCCACGGTGGAAAAGGAAAGCCAATACTTAAGCATTGATAGTTACAAATTTCGAAATTCAGTGAAAAAATATACACTTGTATCCACCGTAAAATACAGACTTCACCATAAACTCATAGATCTAGGTTAATGAATCCAAAAATTAATTAGAAGAAAATCGCTTCTTACTAATTTTACATTTAAGGACAGAAGGAAGTAAAACTTTTCAGACAAATTTTGCGAAAAAATTATTCGTAACCCGAGTTTTTTTGGTCATTTTAAATATCTTAAATTGCAAATTTTAACAGTTTGTAAAGTACTTTTAGTTCATTGTCTAGTTTATATAAGTATGAGCATGCACATAAGTGTTATAACGAATTCGAAATATATGCACCTTATTTTGGTTTCAAAAGTTTTTTTTTCAGCACTTAGGGCCAAATTCACAGTGCGTAGTTAACTACTGACAAAGATTTAACTATTGATTTTGATATACGCAACTCTCAGTTAACAAAAGTTTGAACCAGCATGCCCCCATAGTTAAACTCTTGTGAAATTGAAATTTTTTTGTGGAACGAATTTCAAATTTGAATAGAAGAACTATTGATATTTATAATTTGTATATTTTCAGGCGATATGAATTTTCAGTTACCTATGTGACTCTGAATATAAAATCAAAGTTAAACTCTTGTTGGTGGTTAAGTTAACAATCGTTTAACTAAGCA